TCAAATGCTTTGTGTTTGAATGAATCGGTTGAATCTCAATGACTCACTTATTAACAGTCACTTGCTGTCACCTACTGGCGGTTTTAATTTCACATTTCGACTATTTTTTTCATGTTTTTAAATCATTTCAAATATCAGTATTCAACGTTTTATGTTAAAAACAAAACATTATTTATCCATCTGTAACTGCAGGTTAAATGCATCCATGTCCCCTCTGAGATACATTAAACTGTGTAAATACATCTAAATGCTATTTCAGATGCAGATTCCAGAAATGTTTTCTTATGTTGCAATGAAAGACACTATAAGTACCGGATAAAGTGCTTCTTATTCTTACCAAAAAAAAAATTAAAAAATGGGAGAAAGAGTTAAAACTGAACACAATCTTGCTACTCAAGCTGTGTATGAAAAATTTTTTATACATATATTTATTTGCTTCTTTTCCATTTTGCATTTACTTGTATGCACGGATATTGCAAGACATATCAGAGTGGTAAAGTTATTGTTGTTGTTGTTGTTGTTTTTTTTTTTTTTTTTGCTAAATCACGTTTTAGATATGTCAACAACCTCTTAAAATTAACTGCATTTACTATGTACAGACAAGTGCAATGGTAATATGTATTATGTTTATTGTTCTTTAAGTCTAACATTATAATGTACTTTTACTTAAGTATGGCTTTCAGGTACTTTATACACCACTGTGTAGAGCAGAGTTCATATTTTTATTGATTTAACTTTTGTTGATCCTCACCATGGTTGAGAATCGTGTGCTGAGGAATATGCATCTCATTGCAACTACTGGATTTAATACATTTGTCTATCAGCATAAATGTTTGCCTTTAGTTTGGCAACTACTACCCATATTATGTAGTGGGCTTTGAAAATAAACATAAATCTAAAAGAAAGAGGACAGTTGAAAAAAGATTAGCATTACTAAATGCTAAAAAATCTTTGGTTGATCTGACAGATCTTTTAAAACTCAATAGACGGACTTTTATTCATTAGATGAACTAAAGTTTTAAGTTGTTGGTTGCTAGTTGAGTTAACTTAACAAGTTGAGTGTGATAGGTTGCCTTATTTTTTTGAGTTAGGTTAACTTTTTTTTTTAAATTTTTTTTTTTACAGTGAACAAATTTAAACATTCCAATTAATTTATTTAGTTTTACACCATCACAAGTTGGCCTCGATGTAATGGTCTGACATAAAATAAAAGTGATTATATTATATTATATTTGTAAATGAAATCATTTAATTTCATATAAAATAATGGACAGCATAGCGGTACGGTGAGACAAAAAAGTAACAGCCCATGAACTTGTTTGAAGTATAAACAGACTTGATTAAAGCTGGAGTGATTTAGTTTGTGTTTTGAGTTGTTATCCTGTTCCGCAACCACTGACATAACCGCTTCCTAGTTTGAGACCAACAGAACCACCTATATTTTAGAGGAAATGTGCAAAACAGGACCAGATTGGACACAGGCACTGGCAACAGCACAGACACCCTGTTGTTAACCTTGGACATCTGCCTACAGGACAAACAAAATTAGGGACTTAAAAATGCTTTTCTTCTTCTTTGAGCTGATCATGAAAAAACAAGGAAATAACCAGCACTGGAGCATCCAGAGCTGAAAAAGCAGTATAATAGACAAGTCATTAGCCAGTTCTGCTCTCCGACTTGCACTAACCGATCCTGACATCAATAACATGTCGTTCAAAGATGAGTAATAGAAGCAGAGAACAATCCCAGATGAAAGACGGAGACTCCCACTGATATAAGCATCGGTGCAGTTCTAGAGCGGCATGAAGGATTATTTCATTTTCATACAGATGAGCTCTCTTAAGAGGATGTCTCAGACAGACCAAATCAATGTCAAACAAATCTATTTAATGTGTCTGAGTGTGTGTATGTGTGTTAGAGAGAGATTAAAGTCTATCTTTACTGTCCATGCTCTCAAATGGTAAAGCATCTCATGAGAATCTGCTACGGACAGGCCTATGTGCTGAATTTCACTACCGAGTAAATGAAGGTCACATAAGACAATTAGTCTGCCACTGGCCCACTTTCTTCTAAATTCATGTCTTCATTACAGTAATGGCTCATGAGCAGCAGACTGTAACTGTAACAATCCAGGGAAACATTTCTAAGTGAACATGGCAGAAATGTCCCATAATCCCATTTTTTGTTCTATACTGAATACGCAACAGCTTGCTCAAGTCCAATCAAAAAAATTGTTACATATGCCATACCCATTCTGCTATCAAAACAATTATTAGTGGTTATTGTAACCTTCAACATGACACAGGCTGATCTGCTTCAGGAGTGTCACAGAAATTTGCATGTGGCATTTCAAATTAATCACATTCTCTCAGGCAAAAAGAAAAACATTATTATGAGCAATGTAGAAAAAAAGTTAAAGGCCTCACGAGTTTGTCTGTAGCGCAAGCTTCGTCCAGTTGACATCCGTTAGACTTGCAGTAGCTGTCAGCCTCAGTGGTGGTCTCACAGTTGAGGCCTGTGAAACCCCCTGGGCATGTGCAAACATATCCATTAGCAGTCTCCTCACAGCGACCGTCATTCCAGCACGGGTTTGAATCGCAGAGGAGCCTCTTTCGCTCACAGTAAGTACCTGCAATGAAAGAATTTATTGAGAATGAATGAATATGAAATGACCATAGTCCAGTGTTTCCCACAGACTTGCACTCTATTTGTGGCGGAATATATATGCAAATTCATTCTATGTTGGAGTGGTTTGCCCGGTAAAGGCTGTACACAAAGCAGCGCTCCGCTCACAAACGCTGCTTTATCAGACATTACATGCAAGAAGAAATTAAAATG